ATGATCATGAGGCGAGCATAAGCAAGGCCAAACCAAGGGATACCAAATATACTCAACCTAAGTGGTGTCCTCCCGATTTAACTAAGACCATGAAAAGGAGATTACAACGCATGAGGAACCACGAGAAGGTAGAACACAAAGAGGAGAGGCAAAGGGACGAATTGTTTAGTGAAATTCGGCCCATAGCACTCAGAAAACAAGTGTGGAGGCCTAAACAAAAAAAAACACAGATGCTTCTACATTAGCTGCAGCAACACCTTCACCACCAAAAGAGGATGATGCGACCCCTATTACATCGTCCACACTACCAGAAACATCCCCTTCAATTGATGAATCTTTAAGCCCAATATACACATTGGGAGATGAAGACGGGATGGTGGATTATGAATCTACGCCGGTTCGGGAAGGTATGGATATTAATATGGTATATTACTTACCTGTCGAGTTTCGTGCTATAGGTGAAGAAGGGGAGGTAGCCCAGCTGAATTTTGGTCCTAAGAATGCTATTTTTGAGAAGCCAAGAGAACCGGTGAAACACTTGAAGCCATTGTACCTCAAAGGTCATATTAACGGATCGCCGATTGCTAGGATGCTCGTTGATGGTGGTGCTGTGGTAAATCTTATGCCCTACTCGGTCTTCAAAAAGTTGGGGTTATATGATGATGCATTGATGAAGACCAATATGGTACTTAATGGATTCGAGGGTAAAGAAAAGACAGAGCCAAAGGTGTGATGTGCATGGAACTCACCGTGGGAAGCAAAACTTTGGCCACCACATTCTTCATCGCCGAGGTGCAAGGTAACTATAATGTTATATTAGGTCGCAATTGGGTTCATGCTAACCAATGTGTTCCATCTACCATGCATCAATTCTTAATACAATGGGTCGATGATGAGGTAGAAGTCATTCACGCGGATAATTCGGCTTGTGTTGCTTTGGCCAATGCATCGGTGGATTGGAATCATCCCGATGTTACTTGCTTAACAGGGCATGACCTCTCAGAGTTTGATTTCCTTAGTGCTACGAGGAACGGGTTCATTCCCATCTCTTTAAAGCCGATTGGTGGTAATCGGTTCCAAGGTATGATGTAAACAAGAAGTGAAAATCAATGGCCGATACAGAATTATCGCCCGAAGCATAAACATGGCCGATATAGAAATTATCGCCCAAAGCACGTAAAATGGCCGATGGAGTGTTGACATCGTCCTTAGAAAAAGCATCGTGCAAGTTATTTTTTGGCACACAAGTTTGCCGAAAAACAGGGGGCATGTGTTGACATCAGATTTTGGCACGACCAAGAACTTAATCAAGATGGCTTCAAATAGAAAGGTGCTCAAAGTAAGAAAGTTCTGTATCGTCAAAATAAGAAACTTTGATGTTTGGGCCATCGCTATCCGATCTCATCTCGAAGGCCGAAGTTGTGTTCGAAATACCGAGATTTTGTATTCAGAACACTATTCGGCTGATTATGCCTCCAAGACTGCCTTGTATGGAAAAATGAGCTACACGGATTGTCTCCGTCTCGTCGAAACGATCAATTTTGATATAAATATCGTTCCAATATAAGTTCGTATGCAAAAGTTAGAACCATTCGAATGCAGCCCTGCCAGAATGCTACATATGGCGCGCCCTACCAGACATGTGTCTGATGGGTGGCGCGAGTGACAGTCCGTTTGGTGCGAACGATTCAGTCCTGAAGATGACCTCCAATTGAAAAACGTTCAACATGAAAGTTGTTTGCCTCGTCGAAACGGTCAAGATTGCTTTTGGACTCGTTTTCATCTGAGGTCGTTTACTGCCACAAAAAGAACCCGCAAGGTGCAGCGAGTTTAAACCGAACAGTTTTGGAATGTTTGGATAAAAGCAATCCGAATTTGACTAGGTTTTGGACGTGAATCCAAGCCTTTTCCTTGCACGGGAAGTCCAGCCGCCTCTTATATACCTAAGGGGTGATGGCCGATTAAACAACAACACACAATCGCAAAACCCATCTACTTTTTACCCTAGTTTTACACCCCTCCCTGGTTATTTCTCTCTCGTTCTTCGTTCGTTCTTCGTGTTGAAGGGCACCGATCCTCGAGGCTCTAGGGGCGGGCGAACCGGCCTAGGGCAGCCCATAGCCGCCGCGCGTCCAGACGGGGTCCCACCCGGACGCGTGGGGTTTCGGGTCCTGAAAAGCACCCGCCGGATTGCTTGCGTACCGCGCTTCTGAACGGCTCTCCTTCGACGTGAGCTGCGGTGCATCACCCTCGGCGTTGGAGGTACACGGTGACGTGTTCGTGTGCGAACACCAGTGTCCGCGGACATGCCTGAGCGCACACGTTCGCGGGCGTTTGAGGGGCCGGATTTGCCCATCGTAAATGTATATGCTCTTAGGAAGAGGGGTGGCAGCTGTCTCTTGTTGTGTTCATGTACTTCCTTTCTCCTCTACTATGGCGTAGAATTATTTATTCTGCAATTTTTAGAATTCTACGTTACAACTAAGAGAAGATCAATTTGGGAACTTGAATATCAAGTGGCCCGGTTCTTTGGCTACTAGTAGTATATTTCAGCAGAATACGGAGTACCATCGATATTTCTTTCGTGCATTCGCGCAGGCGGCCATGGCATGCTAGTAGCAATTGTACCCAGCGGTACTGCCAGAACACCGCCAAAAACATCCAGCAGATCAGCACTCCATGTTTTGCGTGGCCAAACCAAACCACCGATGATTGCCAATAATAACCCGTGACAGCCAAGCAACGCCATTTTCTTTCTTTGACCCGTGCTACACGTACTAGCGATCGAAAGGACGTTTGGTCATGACGAGAAAACCTTTCGTTAAAAGGATGAGGGAAGGAAAGCTATCGTCGTTTCGCCGTGCCGGAGGAGGAGGAGGAGACGGGACAAGAGAGCGCTATGTCGTCGTCACGTGGCGCGGCTCCTACTCCCAGGTATAGGCTGGATGCGTTTTATTTATCCCGACGCAATCCCACACGGCCCTTGTCACTAGCGCGGTTCTCACATGCTTGTAACGGTAGTGGTACTCGTAATCTCGCGTACACGCGGGGGTAGCAGCATTTTGAGCACAAGTGTTTGTGGGACAGCGTTACATGAACCGGTTCACCTAAAAATAAGCCGTATTTTTCCATGGAAAACGGGGAAGAACTTCGGCGACCAAAAGGTTGATATTCTTTTACTTACTGATCCAACTGTGTTTTCCTTTTTCCCGATTAATAAATAGCGGATTTATTAACTTAAAATAGAGTACTAACATGATACAAACAGAATGAGCACACAACCAGCTTCTGTTTAGTTATGATGCATACAACTAATACTAACACGCAAAAAATTACACCGGCAGATAACAAAGTCATACAATACCGGTTTTCTTTTCCTACCTAGTTTGATTAAGTCACTTAGACGTGTAATAACTAGTCACCCTGTGCACTTTTAAACTGAACTGGAAAATGATACCAAAAATAAATCGAACCGAACCAATTTTACGGTTTTTATGGTTTATGGTTTCGGTATGGTATGAACTTTTCATACGGTTTTGAGTTTTAGTTTCTATGGTATATACGAAAAAACTGAACGGTTTACCGAATAAACAGAAGTAAAAATATATTTATATATCTTGGGTGAATAACCATACAAATAGTCATTTCTGTACATAAGCTAGATTTTGTGTTAAGCGCATCCATTTTCTTGTAACTTAGTCATACTTCTCTTAAAAAGAATGCTAAGCACATCCATAACCATCGAATCCATGCATGCATATACACTCCCATATAGTTATGTACTCTTTGTATAAAAGGATATGTATTTTCAGTCATAAATTTGCAAACTATTATATGTCATTTTCAAATTCGCGTCAACTTTGGTTCATACAATATACCGAAACCATACCGAAATAATTTGGTATATACCAAAACCGAACCGTATCTAAATTTCATATCGTATTTAACGAAGTATTAATACCGTACGAACCAAAAAACCATACAAACCGAACCACGTAAACAGAACAAACCGAACGCACAGAGTGAATACTAGGGCACTTAGACATACACATTCGAAAGATCATTTGGTGTTGAAATAACAGAGCTGAAACTTGTTTGGCCAAGCAAGGGAAAATACACATCCATATTTCATGAAGGAAAAACATTCCCAGTGCTCTGAAAAAAATAGTGATTAAAAAAGACAGTTTTTAAGCATTTTCGAGCGCTGGTTTTAGTGTTTCTTTTGTCCGAATCATAAGAAACACGGATATTTGCACGTATGTGCAACATTCAACAATGTTTGCTGCCAAAAATAATTCTGATCATTTTATTTTTACTATTCATAAGGCGCAATTAAGCTCGGGAGCAGAAGAGTGCTTTCGCTTTCCATGGAGTTTTCCATCAAGAATAAGTGCAAGGAAACAATTAATCTGTTTGTTGCTATTGCTAGAGGCAAGCAAGACGAGACCAAAATTGCAGTTAAACAAGTGCACTCAGCAGCAGTGACATTACTAATACTACCAGCTAGCTTTAGCCCCCGACCTAGTGGAGGAGACCACCCGTAGCCACCATTAAATAGTCGCCGCGCCCAAGAAGCGCAGATAAGACCAGGACAAGCGAGGTTTTACTACCACTAACCCCAATTCAAGGGTTTAAGCTAACCCAAAGATAAAAATATATGCACCCACAGCCGAGGAGAGAGAGTGTGCGTGTCTGTGTTCAAAAGAACTGAAGAGAGGCCCAGACAGGGAGCAGCGTCTCCGCTCCCGGCCTCCTCCTCCATATGCGTCTTGGGTGCGGCTCAAGCAAACACCAGCTCAAAGCAAAGCGAGCTCCCCGCCACCTCACTGCCCGTCGCACTCCACTCCCACATGCCTCGCCATCCCCCATCTCCTGCTCGTAACCCCATCTCCGGTCCCATGCGGCGGTGAGCTCGCCGTGCCGCTGCTGATCGGATAGGTGGGGGAGGGAACGTTCGTTGTTTCTACTTTTTCGGTGGGTTCTTGATCGCCGGGATCAGAATGGCGCACCGGCGCGCCCGGTTCTTGGTGGTGGTGCTCTTGGTGGCCGCGCTGGCGCTCCGACCGGCCGCGGCGCTGTCCCCGGACGGCAAGGCGCTGCTGTCGCTGCTCCCGACGGCGCCGTCGCCGGTGCTGCCGTCCTGGGACCCGTCGGCCGCGACCCCGTGCTCGTGGCAGGGGGTCACGTGCTCGCCGCAGAGCCGGGTGGTGTCGCTCTCTCTCCCCAACACCTTCCTCAACCTCTCCACCCTCCCGCCGCCGCTCGCCTCGCTCTCCTCGCTCCAGCTGCTCAACCTCTCCACCTGCAACATCTCAGGGACCATCCCGCCGTCCTACGCGTCCCTCGCGGCCCTCCGCGTGCTGGACCTCTCGTCGAACGCGCTCTACGGCGCCATCCCCGGCGAGCTCGGCGCGCTCTCGGGGCTCCAGTACCTGTTTCTCAACTCCAACCGCTTCACCGGCGCCATCCCGCGCTCCCTCGCAAATCTCTCCGCGCTCGAGGTGCTCTGCATCCAGGACAACCTCTTCAACGGCACCATCCCGGCGTCCCTGGGCGCGCTCACCGCGCTCCAGCAGCTCCGCGTCGGGGGCAACCCGGGGCTATCGGGACCCATCCCGCCCTCCCTCGGCGCGCTCTCCAACCTAACCGTCTTCGGCGGCGCTGCCACCGGGCTATCTGGACCCATCCCGGAGGAGCTCGGCAACCTCGTCAACCTCCAGACGCTGGCATTGTACGACACCGGCTTGTCCGGCCCCGTGCCGGCGGCGCTCGGCGGGTGCGTCGAGCTGCGCAACCTCTACCTCCACATGAACAAGCTCTCCGGACCGATACCGCCCGAGCTCGGGAGGCTACAGAAGATCACCAGCCTGCTGCTCTGGGGCAATGCCCTCTCCGGGAAGATCCCGCCGGAGCTCTCCAACTGCTCGGCATTGGTGGTGCTGGACCTGTCGGGCAACCGTCTCTCGGGCCAGGTGCCCGGGGCGCTCGGGCGTCTCGGCGCGCTCGAGCAGCTGCACCTATCGGACAACCAGCTGACGGGGCGCATACCGGCGGTGCTGAGCAACTGCAGCAGCCTCACCGCCCTGCAGCTCGATAAGAACGGCCTCTCCGGGGAGATACCGGCGCAGCTCGGGGAGCTCAAGGCGCTGCAGGTGTTGTTCCTCTGGGGCAATGCGCTGTCCGGCTCGATACCGCCGTCGCTGGGCGACTGCACCGAGCTGTACGCGCTGGACCTGTCCAAGAACCGGCTCACCGGCGGCATCCCCGACGAGGTCTTCGGACTCCAGAAGCTCAGCAAGCTGCTCCTGCTCGGCAACGCGCTGTCGGGGCCGCTTCCTCCAAGCGTGGCTGACTGCGTGTCGCTGGTCCGGCTCCGGCTCGGCGAGAACCTGCTCGCCGGCGAGATACCCAGGGAGATTGGCAAGCTGCAGAACCTGGTGTTCCTGGACCTGTACTCGAACAGGTTCACCGGACACCTCCCCGCCGAGCTCGCCAACATCACGGTGCTGGAGCTGCTCGACGTGCACAACAACAGCTTCACGGGGCCCATCCCTCCGCAGTTCGGGGCGCTCATGAACCTGGAGCAGCTTGACCTCAGCATGAACAACCTCACGGGCGAGATGCCGGCGAGCTTCGGCAACTTCAGCTACCTCAACAAGCTCATCCTCAGCAGGAACCTGCTCACCGGGCCATTGCCCAAGTCGATTCAGAACCTGCAGAAGCTGACCATGCTGGACCTGAGCAACAACAGCTTCTCCGGCCCGATACCGCCGGAGATCGGCGCACTGTCAAGCCTGAGCATCAGCCTGGACCTGAGCGGGAACAGGTTCGTCGGCGAGCTGCCGGAGGAGATGTCCGGCTTGACGCAGTTGCAGTCGCTTGACCTGTCGAGCAATGGCCTGTACGGCAGCATCTCGGTGCTCGGGGCGCTCACCAGCCTGACGTCCCTCAACATCTCGTTCAACAACTTCTCCGGCGCCATCCCCGTGACGCCATTCTTCAAGACGCTGTCGTCAAACTCCTACACCGGCAATCCCAGCCTGTGTGAGTCCTATGACGGGCACATTTGTGCGTCAGACATGGTCCGTCGGACCACACTGAAGACCGTCAGGACTGTGATCCTTGTCTGCGCCGTTTTAGGCTCGATCACTCTGCTGCTTGTCGTGGTCTGGATCCTGTTCAACAGAAGCAGGAGGCTCGAGGGCGAGAAGGCGACCAGCCTGTCGGCCGCCGGCGGCAACGACTTCTCGTACCCGTGGACGTTTACGCCATTCCAGAAGCTCAACTTCTGCGTGGACAGCATCTTGGAGTGCCTCAAGGATGAGAATGTGATCGGCAAAGGTTGCTCCGGAGTCGTGTACAGAGCTGAGATGCCCAACGGCGACATCATCGCGGTGAAGAAGCTCTGGAAGACGACCAAGGAGGAGCCGATCGACGCGTTCGCCGCCGAGATTCAGATATTGGGTCACATCAGGCACCGGAACATTGTTAAGCTGCTTGGTTACTGCTCGAACAAGTCTGTCAAGCTCTTGCTCTACAACTACGTCCCCAATGGTAACCTGCAGGAGCTCCTCAGTGAGAACAGGAGCCTGGACTGGGACACACGGTACAAGATCGCGGTCGGGGCGGCGCAGGGGCTGTCCTATCTGCACCATGACTGCGTCCCGGCGATACTCCACCGGGATGTCAAGTGCAACAACATACTGCTCGACTCCAAGTATGAGGCCTACCTGGCTGACTTTGGGCTGGCCAAGCTAATGAACTCGCCCAACTATCATCATGCCATGTCGCGCATCGCCGGTTCTTACGGATACATTGCTCCAGGCAAGTCACTTCTACGAACTTGCATTTATCTCGTCTTATAGTGTACATTCATTCACCAATTGACAGATATTTTTCTTACTATCTTCAGCATTTAGAACTATAGACAGATAGTGTACATTCATTCACCAATTGATTCCACAGCTTCGTGAATTATTTGGGTAGTGCTGTTACCTAAGCAAGAATCTTTGACCCGTGGTTGCTTCTAGTAAACTTAACATGGTTCTTCATCCATGACCATGTCGATATCTTGTAGCTTAAGCGGGTGACTAGGTATTAACTGACATTGTCCTTGCTTAGTAGTAGTACAATATAGCTGCTAGAGTTTCTCACATCACAAGCATCCTTGTTCACTGAAGCACGTTGACTTCATGCTGTTGATTCCAATGCTTAGCACATCACTGTGTTGATTTGCGTAATTATACTGAAGTGTACCAATACAAACTATAATTATTGTTCTACTAACTACTAAGTAAAATACAAGGTGATTTCAGTTAGAGGACCCAATGGTTTGACACTTGCCTTTTTCATTTCAGAGTACGGCTACACCGCGAACATCACCGAGAAGAGCGACGTGTACAGCTACGGCGTGGTGCTCCTGGAGATCCTGAGCGGGCGCAGCGCCATCGAGCCGATGGTCAGCGACAGCCTCCACATCGTGGAGTGGGCCAAGAAGAAGATGGGGAGCTACGAGCCGGCGGTGAACATCCTGGACCCCAAGCTGCGTGGCATGCCGGACCAGCTGGTCCAGGAGATGCTGCAGACACTGGGCATCGCCATCTTCTGCGTGAACCCGGCGCCGGCGGAGCGGCCGACCATGAAGGAGGTGGTGGCCTTCCTCAAGGAGGTGAAGAGCCCGCCGGAGGAGTGGGCCAAGACGTCGCAGCAGCCGCTCATCAAGCCGAGCAGCCAGGAAGCCTGACGAGAGCACTGCCGCGGTGGATTCAGTGGCGCATCTTCTGCAAGAAGAGAAATGGAAGGAGATCAGGAGATGATATGAGAAAGGAAAAGGAGTAGGATTTTGATAATTGCCTAGCTAGCTTTGGTTAGGGGTTTCTTGTACAGTTTCAGAGGACGTTGTAGCTCATTCTGGGGAACTTGAATGGGAAATTTCTCAGTTTTTAGTTTGCTCATGCGACACATCACTGTGCCTCCCAGTTTACAGTTTACTCCTCATTTCGCAGTTCGTTTGCATGTGATGTGATTCTAATAATGTCCACCGGGCTATTAAAAGAACATCTCACGCCCATATACTAGTACACTAACGCCCGCTTAGGATGGGTGCAAGTTTATACGCTATTTATTTTGACTTTAGCTAGATTTCAGTTAGCTGAATTTTTGTTTTGTGGTCAATCGATTTTCTGGCCTTTGGATTGCGCTTTAAGATTTGTGTAGTTTTTCTTTCTGTCATGTTTTGCTGGTGGTATTGGGCTGTTTGGATTTGATTCACACCGATTTTGGGTCAGTCGATTTCGCTCTTGGGCCCAATTTTGGTGCGTGCATGCTTTTTTTCCATGTGTTTGCTTTTGTTTTTTGCACGTGTAGTTTTTTTTTATTTTTCAGTTGAGTTTTTTTTTCTTTATGTGTATTTTCGGATGTTGAGTGCGTGAAAATGTATACATGCAAGTACTAGATGTACAAATTACATTAAAGTACGGAAACTTCACTCTTATATATTTATTCTGCATATTATCAAAAGTGCATTTTTTGCTAATTTTGTGTTTTTTTGTGTTTTTATTTTCTTTATATTATTTAAGGGTAATACCAATGCTAATTGTTTTGTGCTATTTTTTTCTAATTAAATACAATTTTCTATTATTATGTGTATGTATGCATGAAAGTACTATACAATATGTGTGTAAATTATACCGCTAAAGTTGCGTTATTATATGTGTATTCACTGCATATTATTAAAAGTGCAATTTCACTGCAAAGTTGTGTTCAAGTCTTTTCTTTATTTTCTTTCTTCCTCAGAGTAATACCAATGTCGCTAATTTATCCCCTCTTAGAAAACTCTATTTGTTTTACCATGTTTAGTTTTGAATTCATTTCTGGTTTACAAGGACAATACCAATGCAACTTATTCGTTCCTTGTTTAAAAACTTTGTTTTTATGTAAAATTCACTATTATATGTTTATTCTTAGATAACTCAAAAACTGCAATTTATGTGTAAATTGTGTGCAAATTGCATCATTTTTTTTTAATTCCTTTCTTTTTAAAAGGTGGTACCAATGCCACTATACTTCATTTCTTCTTAGAAAATTTACTTTTATTTTTGTGTTTGTAAGTAAGTATACACGCAAGTATGATACACCATGTGTGTAAATTATAGTAGAGAGCAAAAATTGCACTGTATATGCTTATTTTTGGCATATTACAGAAGTGCAATTTTAAGGCATAGTTGTGTGCAAGTTATTTTTTAATTTACTTTCTACTTAAGGGGTTTCATTTCCCCCTATTTAGTAGTTTTTTGTTTTTTATATTTTCTTTCTTCTTAAAGGGTTCCATTCTTACATAGAAAACTTCATTATTTTGTTTTATTTTTAGTTTTTGTATTTTGTTTTCTTAAAGGGTTTCATTCTTCCATAGAAAACTTTATTATTTTGTTTTGGTTATTTATTTATTTTTATTTTCTTTCTTCTTAAAGGGTTTCATTCTTCCCTAGAAGACTTCATTACTTTGTTTTGTTGTTGTTTTTTATTTTCTTTCTTCTTAAAGAGTTTCAATCTTCCCTAGAAAATTTCATTTTTTTGGATTTATTTCTTTCTTCTTAAATGGTTTTATTCTTCCCTAGAAAAGTTTATTATTTTGTTTTCATTTTAATTTTAATTTCATTTCATTTTCTTTTTTTAATGGCAATACCTTTATTCCTGCATATTATAACAAAGCGCAATTTTCGTGTAAATTGCGTGCAAATATTGCCATTACTTGTTTTTTTATTGCCTTTCTTCTTAAAGGGTACTGTCAATGTTCGGATTTTTGATTTTCTTTATTCTTCAAGGGTAATATTAAATGCCAATGATTCATTTTAGCTTAGAAGACTTCATTAGTATGATTTTTTTGTTTCTACTTTTTCTTACTTCTTTAAGGGCATTAGCAACTCCGGTAATTCATTTTTCAGAGAAAACATCTTTTTTGCAAAAGTTCCACTAACATATGCTTATTCTTGCATATTTTAAAAAACAATTTATGTACATATTGTGTGCAAGTTTTATCATTATTCATTTTATTTTATCATTATTCATTTTGTTTCTGTACGGTTGACGGTGTAGGAGTGCAACTTGCTTGAGGTTAGGCACAAGGCTAATCCATCAATCATCCTGCGCTCAACGACAAAAGCAGGCACACAAAGCAGCATACAATTACTACGTACCACAAATTAGTTTGGATGAAAAGAAGGACGTATGTATCATGCGCCCATGCTTATGCATGCAGAATGTTTCATGCGTACACGCACGCATGCGTAAATACATATCATGCACGCGTGCGAAATGTGTACATGCATAGCGAATCTGTAATGGGCTGGCTACCAAACACAAGTGTTGTTTGTCGACTCGACTGACCCAGAAATAAGATCAGTCGACTTACCTGTAGTCGCTCTCATTTATTTTACAGGTATACTAGCAAACATGCCAAGCATGCCCCTGCGTTGCCACGTGAGAAAAAAAAATCACCCCTCATACACACTCGACAACATCAACAAATCACTTGAAATCTTTCACGGTACGATACAAGAAACAATATGATAAGTGGTGTTGTACACAAACATAAAGGATTGGATGATTTTTTAAGTGTACTGAGGTTGTGTCCAATTTATTAGACAACAAAAATATCTACCTAGCTGCCACTATCAATTCATGTCTTTGCTACGTTCCTCCTCAATGATATTCAACAAACAGTGCATTAGGCTAGAAATAGCAAACGACACTTTAGTACTCAATGATAGCATGTGCATAACAGCATTATTTTTGTTTTGTTGATATATATGTTTGCAACTGTAATCCATGTCAAGACTTAATGTGGTTGCAAACATATTAGATATCTCCGTCGAAAACAATCAATCTATATGGACATGCATAACGAATATGCATTTCCAATAATCCCCATTCAAATAAAAGTACTAACTAAGGGTGCAACATAAACATAGTTCTAGAAATAACTAACATCCAAGATAATATCATATTTGAAATCTACCCCATATAAAGAAAAGTATCAATTAAGGTTGCAACATAAACATAATTTTAGAAATAATTAACATGCAAGATAATATCATATTTGGAATCTATACATTTTTCTGAGCGATTTCCATATATAACACTTTAAATTTGAAGTTAGGTTTTGAAAGATATGAATATTTTGAAAAGTATTTGAATCTGCCAAAAAAAGAACTTTTTTTAAAAGAAAGTAGTTGCACCGTAATTGCAACACTGTGCAGCCCATTTGCTAAGATGACACTTGAGCAAGCAGCTCTATCTTACGCCAACCTGAAATCAAGGAGGAAAGGGAGAAAAAAAAGGGAGAAGGAGAACTCAAACTCAGGTCTCCCGGGTGGTAGAGGAAGGCTCAAGCTAGTAGGACGCTTGTGCACTTGTTAATTTTGATGTGATAATTGTGTACATGAACAAAACACAATGGACGTCGAGTATAATGAAAAAACGAATCGTTTTAGCCACTTACGGGTGACAGTGGAGGTAAATATTATAATTTTTAGGACACTTTTAATGACAGTGAACGGGCAAAAGCAATCCGTGCTTTATTATTTGATATAATATAGATATATATATATATATTGCCGGTCAACACTTGATTTCCATCTGAAAGGAAAACGACGCGTCAAGATCTATATCTTAAACTGATCAAATACAAGCGGAACGATAATCCAAGTAGGGCGTAAAGGAAAAAAAAATCTCAGCACAAACTGAGGATTGTAGATGAGAGAACAATTTAGCCTCTAAAATCCTCAAATTTTCAACTTAAGAAAAGGACAAGAATATATGAATAGTCCTAACTCAAGAACTGAAGTTGAAGTATTACGTCTCCCTTCTTCTCGTAGAAATTGGGGTAAAATGGAATAACGTACCACCACCCATTATGGTTTTGCATTAATTTGGGGCTTGGTTAACTGGATAGAGTCTAAGACAACGACACATAATCCAAGTTGGAGTGTACTTTAGGCCATATGGAATGTTTGGAATGATGTTGCCTTTAACAAATAAACCATCACAATTTTTTTGCAGGTTATCTTCAGACCATCTGTTTGGATCCGTGCGTGGTCATTACTCAGCCATGCGGACCATATGAAGCTTATGGATATTGGGTGCAACCAATGAGAGATGGTTGCATGGGATACTTACAACCAGTTTGGATGTCGGTCCAATAATAGGATATGTGTCTAGTCATCCTATTTTTGCCGATTGTGGCAATTTTTTTATTAGATTCGCTCTTTTTTCTGAGATCTTATTCAGAACTTGATTTTTTTAATAATATGGTTGTGTGCATCAAGAGATGCAGCGGCCGGGGGTACTCCTCCTTCAAAAAATGGGACATCACGAGGTGGGATATTGGCAGCTGCCATTCAAGGCATCTCTAACCAGGCTCCCCACTCTCCCATGTAAGTCCGAATGGACGGCCCGGGTAAGGCTCAAACAAGAGCGAGAAAAAATAAGAGCCTACCCAACCAAGCCATCCATTTCCTCCCTACATGTCCAGGCTGTCCGACACCCCTCAAATCCACACTTTCCCAACCCGAACAAGGCCTGAACAGAAGAGAGAGAGAGAGAGAGAGAGAGAGAGAGAGAGAGAGAGAAGGAGAGAAGCCTACCCAACCAGCCCTCCGTTACCTCCGAGTTTGAGGGGTGTCGGACTGTCAAACATAGGAGGTGAGCGCGTGGCTGCAAAGCGCGGCGACCGCGAGGGTCAGG